ACATGTCTTGCTCGCTAATCATTTGTAGCTTTTGACATAAAGTGAGAGATGTGCGACTCTTCCTTTTTCTTGAACATACAGAGGTCACTGTAGGGATATTAAATGGCCTAATTTCAATATTGCTGTGTATCAGGGAATAGGAAGGCCCAAGGAGAGGAAGAGAGATGGGGGAATCGCCAGTCAGTGGAGCAGTCAAAATATATACAACATTTACAATTAAGCTTGTTGTCTTATATGAGTGTGGTTCATAGTGCCCCAAAACAATTACAATAGATCACTGACCGCAGGTCACCATAACAGATACAGTAATAATGAAAACGTCTGAAATACTGCAAGAATTACCAGTGTGACAGAGAGACACAAAATGAGCACATGCTGTTGGAAAAATGGTGCCAACTGCTCAATGCCGGGTTGCCACAAACCTTCAATTTGTCAAAAACACAATACCTGCAAAGTGCAAAAAAAGCCAAGCACAATAAAACAAAGTGTGCCTATATTTGGTCACAATGTGGACTTCTGGTCAGGTGCTGTGGCTCACGCCTGTAATCCCAGTACTTTGGCGGGCAGATCACGAAGTCAGGAGATTGAGACCATCCTGGCTAACATGGTGAAACCCTGTCTCTACTAAAAATACAAAAAATTAGCTGGACGGGGTTGCAGGCGCCTGTAGTCCAGCTACTTGGGAGGCTGAGGCAGGAGAATGGCGTGAACCCAGGGAGGTGGAGCTTGCAGTGAGCCAAGATCGTGCCACTGCACTCCAGCCTGGGCGACAGAGCGAGATTCTGTCTCAAAAACAAACAAACAAAAAACAAAAAAACAATGTGGACTTCTGGGAAAAAAGGACCCAAATATAAGCAAATTAATTAGAAGAGTTAAGAAAATAAATTAATAGACCTAAAGAGAATTCATCTTAAGGCTAAAAGACCAGAATTCTCATTGAGATGTTTTTTCCAGGCAGAAATCCAAAGTACAGCCCATGTGTCAAAATTGTGAGTGAGAGACTTCTGTGCCAGCAACAGTCTTTTGTTTGTTTAATACAAATGGGGATCTTACTATGTTGGCCAGGCTGGTCTTAAAGTCCTGGGCTCAAGTAATCCTCCTGCTTCAGCCTCCCAAAGTGCTGGGATTACAGGTGTGAGCCGCCACACCCGGCTCTAGCAACAGTTTTTAAGAAGCTGAATGTAATTATCCAGTGGCTGGTATATACGATGGAGATATTTGTGACTGATCTAATCTATAGCTTCTCTAGTCTGACCGTCATTAGCAAAGTCTTTGCTACAGTATTCCTGTGTCTCAGAAAGCAAAGCAGCTACAAAAAGAGGCAGGAAGGGCAGGAATATGGGCTAGGGAGGGTTCTGGAATTATAATTACATTTAGATTAACAGATAAAATGAGTAAGGGGGCAAGAATACCTGGAATAATAGTCATAAAGCACACACTCCACCTCTTCTGTAGGACTTACAACTACGGGCCACAGCACTTAACCTGGGCTTTATAAAAGCCCCCTCTCTCTTTCCAAAGGGATGGAAAACATGAAAATGGAAGTCTGCTTTATGCTTATTTGCCATATCCATTCTAGTAGGTGGTCTGGGCTTGAAAGCAGACAGACAGCAATGTCATGGGCAGCCACACCTTCACCTTCCTTATGAACATCTTTATGCAAAGACAGCTGCTGAGGGCTTCAGGAGAGACCTGCTGACAGCAGGTTTCTGGATGTCCTGTTTGTGCAGTCTGATAAACACAGGGACCCTGCAGTCTCAATCCTTGCTGTAGACAGAGATGAATGGCAGGAGAGGAAGCCTGCCTGGGAAGATGGTCATTCATCCAGATCACAAAAGAACAGAAAATTTAACCTGATGCTGACCAGCCTCCAAAGCCACCCTCCCAAGAGATAAATCTCAATGGTCTTGCTCCACAGTAAGCTCTTGGAAAGGCTCAAAAATGGTTGTACATAATTTTCAAAGTTTTTAAATCAGCAGACAATGAAACTCAAGACACTAAATATGCTTGCTCCTGTCCTCTAACCTTAGACATATCCGATTTGGTCAAACGGAAGAGAACCACAAAAGATGGGCTGAGTAATGGCTCCCTTGGTTTTCTGAGAATACTATACACCTGGATGTGACGAGCCCAAAAATGACAAAATGATCTATGACTTAGCAAACAGACGGAGAGGTCATTAAAGTGAGGCAGCAAAGGCAAGAGCATGAAGTGCTGAGAAGGTGAGGATACCAAACTGAGGAACAATCTGCCTTAATGGTAACCTAATTGTTAGGAGGATTTCCCGCCATATCTACCTTACGTCTCTCTCTGTACCTGAAAAAGTATAAATTGTGACTGCATGTGCCTCTAACTTTCCTTCTAGTTACCAAAGCCAAGGCAAAAGATTGGGGCAGAAAAATTAAAATGTGCTGGTACCTTCCTTCTTTGTTATTCTCCTTCCTCATAGAGCACATAGACACTCAGAGAACAGGAGCAACCACAAGCAGCATTCAGTTTACAGTAGAGGGAGGTGGGCAGGGAAGGAGACAGAGGAAAAAATAAACAGTTTCAACCAGCCAGCAACATCCTTTACTAGAAGACCTGGACTACTAATGTTGAGGTGACTCATCCACAGCTGCTATTAAAAACAAGATTCTGGTCTACATCAGCCCAAAAAGAAAGGCAAACACCCCAGGAGGGACATTCCAAGGAGTATTAGAGAACTTCGTCCATTGTTACTAACCAGGGAGCAATATAAGACCCCCTAAGAAAAAACAGTAAGTCAGTGCACGAAAGGTGAAGAAGGAAATGTAAATTCAGGTCATGCTAAAGCCAGGGGAGGGGTGGGGGAGAGTGCACAGGTGGGCTGGGGGGAGCATAAGGAGGAGGCAGTCTGACACAGGAAAATCGAGGGGGAAGGAAGGGGAGAGAGAGAGGAGGTGGTAGCAGAAGAAAGGGAAGGTAAGACAAGAACAGAACATTTTAAACTAATCCAGAACTCCCTTGTGAAGGACAAGTCACGAGGCAAGATACAGCTTGAAGGCATGAGCCCCACATTTCACCACTGCAAAGAGATAACACAGCCTCCCAGGCGTGCATAGAGAGGGCTAGGCAATCCACAACACCGACTCCCAGGGCTCCACAGCATTACTGAGAGAAAGTCACCCAGGCTTTTCAGCAGCCCTAAGTGCCAGCAGCCTTGGCATGTATGTTTCAACTGCTTCCCTGAATAGACCCTGGTGCTGGAAAAACCATAATATCTACAGGAGAATGTATTTCACTACAAGTGTCTGCCTGGCTAAGGGAACAGACACTCCATTTCCTTCACTGCTGATATATACATCCACCTCACCCTAGAGTGGACAGAAGGGAGAAGGAGCAAGCTGACAGAAGGTAGCTCTGCTCTTCTCCTGCAGTTGACAAGAGAGAACCATGACCTCTGCTCCATTTGCCACACCACTGCTGCTTCAGGCCATCCCTGCATTTCTTTCACATTTACATCTTTCTCAGACAAATAAACCTCCCACTTAGTTTTCCTTTTGCTTCTAAGAGTACAAATGCTAGTGTGTTTAATGACAGCATCGAGAAGGCAAATTGGTACAAAGGTTGTTCCCACTTTCCTAGTGCTTTCTGGCAAAGAGGTTTCTTAAACACATTAAAAAGCTTTGTTGAAAGATGACTTGTGGGGAACTAGCCATTCAGTTAAGGAAGAAGGCTGAGGGGGAGATGAGAACTCTTAAGGCCCCAAACCTGACCCCGCTACGTCAAGATGGAAGGCAGGGAAGAAATGACTGACAGGCTGTCCTCTTTTACAAATGCCAGTGAAAAAGGAGGAAGAAACAATGCCGCCCTTCCTTCTCTCTTGCTTTTATGTTTGACAATACCAAAATATAAGGAATCAAAACGAGCCAAATGTCCAATTTGATACAGGCCATAAAAGCTCAGTTTCAGGATGGAAAGAAACACAATGAATGGCTAGAAAGGTCAGAAGCAGCAGGTGAGAGAATGCAAAACCCAGCAAATAAGTAAGATTGGCTAGCTTAGGCTGGGCACGGTTGCTCACGCCTATAATCCCAGCACTTTGGGAGGCTGAGGCGGGCAGATCACGAGGTCAGGAGATCAAGACCATCCTGGCTAACACGGTGAAACCGCATCTCTACTAAAAATACAAAAAAAAAAAAAAATTAGCCAGGAGTGGTGGCAGGTGCCTGTAGTCCCAGCTACTCGGGAGGCTGAGGCAGAAGAATGGTGTGAACCCAGGAGGTGCAGCTTGCAGTGAGCCGAGATTGTGCCACTGCACTCCAGTCTGGGCAACAGAGTGAGACTCCATCTCAAAAAAAAAAAGATTGGCTACCTTAAATTCTAGGGCTGACCCTGTTCCTTTAGTGCATCCTCCCACGGTTCTCCCTGCTGACCACTCAAAAAAGTCCAAAGAAGCCAGAAATCACTTCTCAACCCACCACATTAATTTGACAGACAACTTTTTAAGGTTCCTGAATCGGGGGTAGGAGTAGGGAGACCGAAAAAGTTTAGGCAATGGAGTAAGATCTTAAAGGAGTCAGTCTGATTAGGGCACTAAGACAGAAAATCCACCTCTTAGGGAAATCCAAGTATTTCAGAATGAAGACATCTCCACAGCTACTCTGCTTAGGAGAAAAAGCAGCAACCCTCCAGCCTCCCTGATGTGGTAAAGACAGTCCATGAGAAGCTTTCCACGGTCACTGTACATGCAAAAGGGAAATAAAAATGTTGCCTGAGGAGCAGCATCCTCTCGCAATCTGGCCTGGGGCCCAGTGGGCGGTCTCCTCGCGCGCCAGTGAATCAGCAAAGCAACTGCCAGAGGTGGGAGTGCTCTGGGCATCTTAACCCTCTGTCCCTCGCCCCATCCTGTTACTCATAAATAAATACTGAGGAGTTGGGAGCAAGAACATCCACCATTGCAGCTCCAACAGTGGGCAACTTGGAAGCACTCCAAGCTTGAGAGGAGAGGGAAGAAAGCAAGCTGAGTATGTACTTACTCAAAGTCCTCAAATTCCAAGTCGGTTCCCTCTACTGATGGACCCTGGTTGTCTGAGGAAGAGGAGGAGGTGGAAGAACGGAGACGGTTCTGTTGGTAGCGCATGGAGCGCTGGCGAATACTGTCTCTCCGTGAGAGATACTGGATCATCCTCTGGGCGTAGTATGCAGCAGGAGATAATCTGAGAGAGACAGAGATGGACAAACACAAACTAGCACTAATGTGGGGAATACTGTGAAAGGCAGTCAATCCAGCTCTCCCATGGCGTCTCCCTGTTGAGGTGAACTCTGGAGACATGAAAATTAAAGGGCATTTAACTCATCAGGAGGTTTGCACTGCAGAATATGCCTATCAGATTATCACCAGTGTTTCTATTCTGAGATAAGGCAAACAGGCGGCTTAACCAGACATCTTCTGAGGAAGAGCTGCCCCTCCCCAAGAGAATAACACTGGACCTTTCCTTCTAGCTTCTTAAGGTACACTTTCAGCTCCTCCGGGTGCTCTTTACACAGAGCTGTGCTCATTCGTAGCTTTTCCTTGATCACCATCCATACGCAAAATGGAAGACATGAAAGGGAACTGAGCAATCATCTACCGTCTTGTTTTATAGATGAGAAAAGAGGCTAGGAAATGGTAAGCCTCCGATGATTAAAGAAGGTATCCACAGGTACCTTCACCAGGACTCCTTTCTTCTCCAACAAGTACACATAGCTCCAGATTTGTCCTGCCTCCTTAAAATGATCTCTCGCAACATCTTTTCTCTCCCTTAAGAATTAATCATAGATATTTGTAACATGGGGAAAAAATTCAGAACTGAGACTGAGAGTAAAATATACTTGAGAGAACAGAAAATCTAACAGAAAAAATTAAAAGAGATTCCTTTTTCTATTTCTTACAATCAGAGCATCAGAGGTTGCGTGGGCACTGGGCAACATGGAAGGTGATAGTTGTTTATCTTTCTTCTCCCTTATGATGACTATTTCTGTAAATAATTAGTCCAGATCTACATTCTTCAAACTATGGCTTTAATATCTTGCTACTCCATGAAAACTTCTAGCGTCACATATAATTCTCCACATTGTCTTCTCAAGTTTTCCGCCATCTCTCACAACACTGTTATATAATTTGATGCTATGGACTGAAAATGTAAGAGGGACAATAACAGAAAAACATTTTCTATGATAATATTAAATGGATTACTAAAAAATTTCAAGACTAAAAACTTGCCTCAGGCACACTTTGACTCAATAATTCCACTAGAAACTTTATCCTACAGAAATACACAAAGATATATATAAGAAAGTTCATTTGCAACATTGTCAGCATTAGTGAAAAACTGGGAAGCAACCCAAATGCCCAGCAACAAATTAAATAAATTATTAATATATCCATACAAAGAAACACCATGCAGCAATTCAAGAGAATAAACTACTCCTATACACTTACAAGGAAAGTCCTCTAAAATAAAATCTCAAGTGGGAGAAAAATTGAAGAATGGTCTGTATACACTAATACATATACAAAAATGTGTTGCTGTTACTAGAGGAAAAAACTGTAAGGGGACACAGCAATCCTAATGAGGATTCCTGGGACTTTTGTATTTTATATACTTCCATAATGTTTGAACATAAAAGGAAAAAAGCATAGATCTTCGTTTTTTTTAATGGAAATCAGAAAAAACCGATTAAGAATGGAAATAGGAATAGTTATATCCGAATGGTACAAAAAGTATTGGCAACTGTCTTGCAAAGAGGTCCTCAGTAAGTCTACCAACCCAGGTCACAGTCAACTGCTAGAGGAACATAGGCTGCCTCTGAAATGCCTGTCATCAAAGGTGGTATCCTTCTGGCCAACCAGCAAATGGAATTCCCAAGCAGATCAGCTAACAATCTTTTAAACTCAAAAGTCTGTTTTACAGAATAATATGCTGCAGTGAATACCAATGAGTCAATATTATAATATCTTTGTATAGCAAGTAGGCATGGGAGGCACAGATGCCTTGGCCAAGAGAATCAGAGTACAAGAGCTAGTTCCTAAAAGCTTCAACTAGAGGAACTTTCATTATCTGTTTGGGCCCCTGTTCCCATGCATTTTGCAAGGATGAACCACAGAATCCTAAATTTTCAACCAACAGAAGTCAATGTTTGTGCACTGTTCTTACATCTGCCCAACATACAGAACTCTTCTAGCAGAAATCAAGCATCATTGGTTAAATTCTCAAGTCAATCAGACTAGAAAAGAATATAAAAGGAGAAAAATTTCAAGAGGAGAAAGAAGACCCTTTTATTTGGAGCCGATTCTGAAAAGTGGTAAGTACACTTACTTTATAGCCTACCCTAAGTAATGGAAAAAACATAGTATTATTGGTGATAGAGGTAGACATAATGTTGATGCTGATGATAATAAAAAGACTGCCTTTTAATGTAGGGACATAGGAATTCCCAAGCTATGAAACTATAGATTAATGGTTTAAAACGCATTCCTGCCACAATTATTAAATACAAGTATATCCTAGCCTTGTCCTTTTAGATATGCAGAGGGAAGCTAAGGATCTGAATGCTGAGGAGGTGTCTCACTAAGGCTCTGACCTATATATAGTGTATACGGTGAAGCCTAAGAGGAAAAAGAAACTAAACAACCAGTTATGAGGTAGTAACAATCATCCTCCTAACAAAGAGCTGGAAAATCATCAAACAACCCTAGTCTTCCAAGTGAACATTTTAAATGTTTAAATAAATCTTTAAGTTTTCTTCAAGGAAAAATACTTCCCTTTCCAAAAAAAAACCTATTTTGTATTCAAAGGAAAAATGTAAAAATACCAACACCACAAAGTATGACACTTTCTGTGATAAAGATCACAGTAGGATAAATAACAGATTTATTATATAAAAGGAGGATAAATCATGGTCTTTAAGTATCCTTGTAGAACACTGCCAGGTTAAAAGTTCTGGGGATGAGATGCCTATTGCTGTCTTTATTGCAAGAACTTCTCTATCTCAGTGCTTCAAAGTAATTGATTCATATGAAAAATTCCTTTCCCTTATATTTAGGGTGTATAACCCTCAAACATCATTAAAGACTCACATAAACTTCCTTGCTTCATTCATCATCTAAGGTGCCTGCCTGTTTTAAAGTCATCAATCCTTATGTTCCCTGATTCTTAGGTTTGTCATTTCTAGAGTGTGGAAAAGGAATAAAAGGATAATGAAGAATCTTTGCACCAGTATCTCAGAAAGAATGCTCAGTGTCATGACATAACTGTGGCAACAATAAAGACTTAATATTCCTGGAATCAACTTGGTCTGAAGGTTTTTCCAGGCAGACCTAAAAGTCTTAATCTAGAGCAAAGCTCATTTTGCTTTACCTAACCTACACTGCTAACCTGTCAACCCCACAACTATAAATTACCCTTTTCTTTTGGCAAAGCCTCATAATGTGCTCTAGTATTGCTTAAATAATGTGCCTTTTTAGATCACGAACAGAACCCATAAATCTGGCTGTGACAACCCCAAGGGGCTGCACTCTGCAGATGAATGTTATCCATCAATATCTCACCCTTGGTCCTCAGTTATCACCATCAGTGAAGGGCAGGCCTTGAACTCACTGAAATAACTTTTGTTTTTTCTCTCTTCAGAACTTTTCAAATATCTTTTTTTTGAGACAGAGTCTCACTCTGTCACCCAGGCTGGAGTGCAGTGGTGCCATCTTGGCTCACTGCAACCTCCGCCTCCTTAGTTCAAGTGATTCTCCTGCCTCAGCCTCCCAAGTAGCTGGGATTACAGGCATCTGCCAACACGCCCAGGTAATTTTTTATATTTTTAGTAGAGACGGGTTTCGCCATGTTGGCCAAGCTGGTCTCGAACTCCTGACCTCAAGTGATCTGCCCGCCTCAGTCTCCCAAAGTGATGGGATTACAGGTGTGAGCCACCATGCCCAGCCTCAAATGTCTTCTAATAAGTGTAAGCCAAGCACTTTAATAAAATGCCAATTTGTTTTATCCATTACTCCTTCTTCAGTCATCTCTTCCTTTGGGCAGTCTCTAAAAATGTCAATACCTGAAGGAGCTTGACTTCTGCCTTTTGATATGCTAAATTCCCTCTCAAATGACAGCAAATTGAGTTTTTTGTTTAATCTATACATAATTTCCCTATAAATTAAAAAAATGTTGTTCCCCTGTTGGCTGTCCATCTGAATGACACCAGCCTCTCTGGCCAACAGAAAAAGAATATCCTACGACTACCTGTGGCCTCTCCAGGTTCCTCCTCTAGTACCACACTTGCAGAAATGAGTACCAAAGGACAAGAGCTTGGTCATAACCCTCTTTCACCAGAGGTACCGTTCACTTACCTGCAATACTTCCCCATCACCTGAACCACCTGTCTCAAAAGTATGACTGAAGAATAAAAGAGCACCAGGACCAGAGAGGCACAGAATGGAGCTTCCAACAGCGTGGCAACCCCAAGGGCCGCCCCTCCCCCCCACCTAGTGCCATTTCTCACTTTGGCCTTACCTCGCTGGGTCTGGGTAAATTGGGTGCTCTCTGGATCCTGCTCCATCATAACGGGATAATGAAATGAGGGAAGATTCCAGCAGCCTCCTAGCAGAGATTAAAAAAATGGCAATAATCCCTGTCAATTACCAACTCAGAGGTCATTCATAAGGAAAAACGGGGGAGAGATACACAACTTCCCCCTTTTGCAGCCAGCTAATGCCTGTTATCTGAGATCACACCCTTCTACAAGCTAAGTAGGTAGAGACATAAATAAATGAAGAGCTGCAGAGCTCCCACACTGGACATGACCACTGCATTCTGCTGAATACTGCTCTTCAATGAGAAATGAACAAGTGCTTCAGAGACATGATCTTCTTTCTATTTGCAGTATTTCCAGTAGACAAATAGAAGGTTCGGATCAACACAGGAGGGAAAAATTAGGCACACACAGAAATTATCACATAGTGCTAACATTTATCTTGGTGTTCGGTTCCTCCATGCCATCATCATCCACATCCACTTACTGTCTATCCATTCTGCTCTGCCCATGCTCTTTTGTGAGAATGAGTACTCCTCAGATATATAACTGTAATATATCTATTAAAAATATAAATATATATAAGAGTACCTCACAGGCTCTCAACTGACAACTTTTACTTATATAATCTAGCCCAATCACAAATTCAACTGATCATATGTGATACATACATTTTATTGAACACTTTTTTTGATGCCAGGTAATAGGTAATATACTGAGCACTTCATATGTATTTCTTTGTTTAAACCTCACCACAACCTAGAAAGGTAGGTATGACTACATACATGAGAACACTGGGCCCAGAAGTTAAAGTATTTCACTCTGTGGCACGTAACTATTAAGAGATAGTGACAGGACTCCAGGGAAGGCCTGTCTTAACTCCAAAATGCCTCAAACCTCTATTTTGTACCGCAGGACCTTCCAGGGTCCAGGCAGGAAGCAAGTGCATATGTATTCACTATGATCAATGGAGACTGACAAACAGGAAGGTCTATGGCCCATCGTTCACCTCCAGCCAATTGTTACCAAGCTAGAATATAGGCTCAGTATTGCTGGCTTTTCCTATACTTTAAGGAAAGCCAGAAATGTGGACTTTTGCGTAAAATCTCCTGATTGTTAAATTTTAGCTACAACTTTTTAAAAATTTTTTAATTTTTTTTTACAAGGGCCAGTTAGAACACAAATGATAAACATGGCCCAGGGGCTCCCTGGTTTGCCATGTCTGACATGGTGCTTCCCAACTCATATGTGCCTTGGCAGCCAATCAAGCTCCTGCCCCAGAACATGTTTCAAAGGAAATGGTCTCAGAGAGAACGCATATTCTTCCTCTCCAGCAGCATCTTGCCTGCCATTCCTAGGAACAGGTCCCCGGCTCCCTGCCAGACTCTTCTTTAAAGCAGATCTGCAGGATAAGGACAGCAGCTACCAATCTTTTCCAATGGATTTAATTCAATTCACTGTTATTAAAACCAGCTGGCTTTAGGTATAGTCATGTGCAGTCACTTTATTCCAGCAACTGGCCCACTGCAGTATTTCCCTAACTGCCTGGGTAAGAGACATAGCAAAGGCCCTAACAACCTGGCTTGCAACCTTTCCTGTCCAGGACAACCAACGGTCAAGTAATGTTTTCTCTCTAGACAAGGCCTATATCCCCACACTTAAGACACTTGTAACAATCCTGCCACTGAACAGAGAGAACACAATGTAACCAATGAGAAAGAGAGGAAAGCAATAAAATACATCTCTCTGGTTGAAAGACTGAATCTACAGTAACATCACTATGGTTCCAGTGGCAGAAATGCTGTTTCATCAATTCCAAGACACACTTTTCACCTTTTAATGTGTCTGAGGTTGGGATGTTTTTTACAATTGTGTGACACAGTTTAATTGGCAGGAATTTTTTTTTTTTTTTTTTTTTTTAGAGACAGAGTCTGGCTATGTTGCCCAGGCTGGTCTCAAACTCCTAGCCTCAAGTGAATCTTCCTGCCTCAGCCTCCCAGAGTCCTGAGATTACAGCCATAAGTAACTGTGCCTGTCCACTGGCAGGATTTTTTTTTCATGATTTCACAGGAACACAAAATAATGGCATGTTTTAAGTCTTTGAAATACAGAATGTGTGGGATAGGTAGGGGTAGTGAGAGATACATAGTCTGGAGAAAAATGAAAAGCAAAATTTTGAGAAGAGTATTCAGGTCATGTATGCCATCTTATATAGTACTTATTTATCATTAACAAACCAGTTCTTCAGGAACTGGGTGTGAGTTGAAGAATGGAAGCAAAGTCTGGGAGCAGCTGACTATCCTAGAATACCTAAGAAGCTTGTTCCACCCTTAAAGTGCTCTGGAGTTAGTCCTGAATGTCACCAAGTCCTTTCGTGTTATCCTCCAAGTGGTCGTACAGTAAGCTGAGGCCCTTTGGCAACCAGCATCTTCCATAGTGACGAAAATACACCCTTCTTGGCTGGGCGTGGTGGCTCATGCCTGTAATCCCAGCACTTTGGGAGGCCAGATGGGTGAACTGCCTGAGCTCAAGAGTTCAAGACCAGCCTGGGCAACATGATGAGACTCCATCTCTACTAAAATACAAAAAATTAGCCAGGCGTGGTTGTGCGTGCCTGTAATCCCAGCTACTTGGGAGGCTGAGGCATGAGAATCGCATGAACCTGGGAGGCAGAGGTTGCAGTGAGCTGAGATTGCACCACTGTACTCCAGCCTGGGCAATACAGTGAGACTCCATCTCAAAACAAACAAACAAACAAACAAAAATATATCCTTCTTAAGTACTTCTGCCTGGAAACTGATTACGGTAACAAAGGCAAATATTACCCCCACTCTGCTAAAGCAATGACAGTACTGAGTGAGATGAGATGATTTATTAGGAATGCTGTAAAGGAGATTCCTGATCTGAAGGGTTTGCATTAGATAACTTCAGTTTTAGTGACTCCATTTTTATTTTTTATTTTTTGAGACGGGGTCTCACTCTGTCACCCAGGTTGGAGTGCAGTGGTGCAATCTTGGCTCACTGCAATCTCAGCCTCCCAGGTTCAAGTGATTCTCCTGCCTCAGTTTCTTGAGTAGCTGGGATTACAACAGGCATGTGCCACCACACCCGGCTAATTTTTGTATTTTTAGTAGAGATGGGGTTTCACCATGTTGGTCAGGCTGGTCTCGAACTCCTGACTTTGTGATCCGCCTGCCTTGGCCTCCCAAAATGCTGGGATTACAGGTGTGAGCTAGCGTGCCGGCCTCAATGACTCCATTTTACAATCCCAAAAGTCTATTACCCACCTTAATTTCCTACCTTAATTAGGAAGACTTCTTTAAGTTGGAATAGAACCAAAATGGGAAGCTTTGTCTCTGGGGAGTCTCTGGTGAGGTTCTTTTGGAACATGCATCCCCTGTGCCTACTTACTACAGAATGTGTTGGCAACATTTGCTGCCCAGACAATACAGTGGAACTGGCAAACCACATATATATGTCACTTTACTGCTAATACACAAAAGCAGGAAAGCCAATCACCATGAATACACACATACATTGATGAAACATAAGTTCTTCATAGTTACCATACAAGTACTATCTGGAGTAAAAACAGGCTTCTCCAATTGGTGTGGAATAAAGAACTAGAGTTACTAGATGAGTAAACATCCTAGGAATGTTTACCACCATTCCTAGGAACCTCAAAGAAAGATCTTTCTTTCCAGTGTTAGCCTGTTATAGAGAGCCGTCAACAGTAAATGGTAGGAGAAAACTGAGTGCGATGGTAGTTCTGCACATTCTGCTGTGACCACCACAAATTTGACTTGACTTAGTCTATCACAAGAAATCAGGGAGGGCCTAGGAAGGGCTCAGCCAAGCTTGTTCAGGATTGAAGTTGCTATCACTGAAGCTGAAGAACAAAAAAATACAAAACCGCCCCCCACCCCCAAACGAATACTTCCTTGTTTTCTCTACTTGCCTGGTTCATTTTGTACATCACTGATGTCCAAGTGAGGTATACCAGGGGTTGTGCTATTTGATCCATTGGACAACAAGGGGGAAATACTACAACTTCTGCTATATAATATATAATTGTAACACACATGGATTACTCAAAAGCTTTTTTTTTTTTTTGGACAGAGTTTCCCTCTTTTACCCAGGCTGGAGTGCAATGGCGCGATTTCGGCTCACTGCAAACTCTGCCTCCTGGGTTGAAGCGATCCTCTTGCCTCAGCCTCCCGAGTAGCTAGGATTACAGGGGTCTACCACCACGCCCAGCTGATTTTTGTACTTTTAGTAAAGACAGGGTTTCACCATGTTGGCCAGGGCTGGTCTCAATCTCCTGACCTCAGGTGATCCGCCTGCCTCAGCCTCCCTAAGTGCTAGGATTACAGGCATGAGCCACCATGCCCAGCCAGAAAGCATTTTATTAATAAGGTGTTTTTTTTTTTTTTTAAATCTGAAGGCCACTGCTCTAATCAAACTATATATGACTTTAACAATACTAAATACTTAAAGAATAGGATAAGCTTAAATATAAAAAAAACTATAAGCATAGAAAAGTATACTCATATTTATATGTGTATATATATACGTACGTACACATACAGAGAGAACAAAAGAGGATAATAAAGCAAATGTGGCAAAATGTTAACATTTAGGGAATGTGGGTGAAGGGTATATGGGAATCCTCTGTACTATTTTTGCAACTTTTCTGCAAGTTTGGAATTATTTCAAAATGAGAAAACAAAACATACAACATACAAAAATGTTAAAGTAAAATACTGAAAAGAAAGAGATAGCCATTTGTTTTCAAAAGAATTACGGCTGGGCGCAAGTAATGGATGGAAAAAGCCATCAAAAATGCATATTAAGCCCTGCTAAAATCATAACAGGCACATAATTCAAGCTGTGAAATCCCTCACATTTTAAAAAGAATGCAACTATTTTTTCTTTCCCTAATTAATATTCTGAATTATTTGCAAAGAGGTTCCCTGTATCAGCTGTATTCTTGATCACTAGGAATACAATTTTTAAAATAGTCAAAGAAAGCTCTGGAAAAGAAAAAAAGTGGTCGGAGCCGATCAAC